GTGCCTCTATTGCTTAGCAACTGCCCAGCTCCGATATTTGTTGAATGAGTGAGTAAATAATAAAGACCCAACTCAGGGATGTGAATAACCATGCCTCCTCTGCCCCCTTCACACAAATATGTCTTATTTTTTATTTTTTTAGTTTTAATTTTTAAATGTATCTTTATTGATTTCAGAGAGGAAGGGAGAGGGAGGGAGAGAAACAACAATGATGAGAATCACTGATAGGCTGCCTCCTGCACGCCCCCTACTGGGGATCGAGCCCACAACCTGGCATATGCCCTTGACCAGAATCGAACCAGGGACCCTTCGGGCTGCAGGCTGATACTCTATCCACTGAGACAAACCAGCTAGGGCAAGATGTCTTATTTTAAAAAAATAAAGTTTAAAAGAGCCTTATGCCAATAAGCCAGGGGTGGGCAACTCCTGGCACACGTGTCAAATATGGCACACCAGTAACTTCTGCTGGCACGCGAAACCCTCTCTTATAATCTTCCATTTACAACTGTGAATCTTTGTTCTCAGTGATGAATTTTGTTAAGTCACATAATAGGAGTAGCCTGACAGATGAAAGTAGTAGCTCGTGCATATCTCTGAAGGTCATGAAATATAAACCTGATGTAAAATCTCTGTCATCAGTGATGCAGCAGCAAAAGTCCCACTGATAATATCATACGGAGTTATAAAGTTTTCTGTTGGACTATCAGTGTACATGTATACATTAAAAAATAAATGTATTTTTCATCATCATATACTGTGTTTTTGTCGCTCGAATGAATTTTATTATTTCTTCAAGGTTCTTCACATACGTACACCTTAAGAGATATCAAGTAGGTGTAACATGTACTCAAAAAATTAGGGTTGGCACGCAGAAGAATTTTGAGTCAGAGATTTTGCTGGTTTTGTCAAGCACCCACAAAAAGGTTGCCCACTCCTGCAATAAGCTTTCCAGTTCCACCCCATCCAGTTTCTCCTTGGATCCTAAAGCATCTTTCATGCCCACCTAATGGGTATCATGCCGATTTGTAACAATGAAAGTGGATTTTGTAACAGAGGGTGCACTCTGGGTCTAAACTAGGGGTTCAATACTGTATCTCATCTAAGCTGCAGAATAAAGACAGGACTCACGTGAGGACAAATGTGGACACTGGACTTGAGGTAAACTACAAAGAGAACAAGTTCTTTCTCCATTCTCTCTATCAAAATGGGGCACTTAATGCCTAGGTTTTTGAATCTATACTCACAGGTCAGTAACTCTGAGGCTGCTAAGGAGGATTTATTATATTATTATAGATGAACAAGTCAGATATCAAATAGCAAATTGTCAATTTTGTATAACATTCTGAACCCTGGAAATGCTCAATATTAGCAGTGTCTCAAAAAATGCTCATTTTTAAACCTATCAAGAAAAATGTCCTCCAATCATTAAGTTAAAAGGATAATTATGAAAATAAATGTATACTATCACTCATATTCAAAGACATAAAAAGAAGAGTGTCTGTGATGTAAAGATATTTTTATACATACATATATTCATTCAAACTGTTATATATAATTATATGTCACATAATATCATTTCTAAGACTTGTGAAGAGAAAACATTGGTTCTGTAAGTGCCTGGTTCAAAGAAAAATAGATCCAGTTCTGTTCCACATATGATTCTATACTGCATTCCTTGAACCAAAATTTAAGACAAATAGACTAACAAAGAATTTGCTATTCAGGGGTCTGAGAATTGGGGTGCTCAGACACTAGAACTCATGGGGCTTAAGTTTATAACAATAGCTGGGCATAATACTATAACTTGGCTGTGACCTGGAAAATCTAGGTTACTAAATATTAGGTAGCACAAGGCTTACATTCTCTATAACTTTATAGCTTTCAAGATTATATTGGAACAGGTACCAGGGATTTCCTTTTAGGGCCTGAGTTCCCCCAAAAAACAAGTGCGACTTTGTAAAAATACTTTCTCCCTTCAGTCACTAGAGTTTTCCTGATGTGTTTAAAGCCTGGAAATTGTAAATCTCAAAAAAAAAAAAAAGGAAATAAAACTTGAAGGCTAATGAAGGAGTTTGAATGTAGATTCACAAGCACATTTGGCAGATGGGCAGTGCTGGCTCTTGGTAGTATACTTGGGAAGGTTTGGTGGGCCACCTGGATGCCCCATGCTAACTACCCAGCTACTCTTGCTAAAAGCCAGGGCCACTCAATCAGTGCCATCGATATGAGGGCTCTACAGCCTTCTTTCCAGGTAATGGGGTCTTCAACTGGCCCAAACCACTGCCCTTGAACCTGCTCAGAACTGCAATTCTTCCTAAACAGGAGAGCAGCAAGACCTGGAGGCTGGGGTGTGCAGCTACTGGAATGGCACTTCCTACACTGATTTGCCTGAGAGGTGAGGCCAAGTAGCCCCATTCTCCCCACCTTGCTGCAGATCCTCCCATGTCTTCTTCCTCAGGTCAGAAGGGAGGAAAATGATCTAGGCTTGCTTTTACTAAGTATACAGGTGTGGCCTCTCAGAAGAGGCCACTCATTTAAAGGCAAACGGATTTGTACCTGGTTTTACCTTTGGATCTTGAAAATTAGTCTTTAAAAGGAGCAACACTAAAATAAATGCTTAATTTATTACTTTTATAATGTGCAGCTCCAATCTCATAATATACATACACATTGTGAATACACATCATATGTGTGTGTGTGTATGTATGTACATATATACTCATATTCTATGGGATAATTTGATTTTCACAGATTCATTTGGTGAATCAGAAACAGGCACTGTGCCTCCCCAGTTGGAATCAAGTTAAAAATTCCACCTCTGTTCTTCACAACTGTTCCTCAGCATTTTGAACACATGGAGTGTTTTCCAAGAGCAGATTCAGAATGGGCTAACATTTATGGAGAAGCATCATGTGTCTTGTTTTACATATGTAGTGCCATTTAATCTTCACAGTGACTCTAACCCATCTCTGAGGTGGTTGTTATTTCCAGTTTGCCGACGAAAAGGGACCTGTCAGGTGTTATGTCTTAGACTCACAAAAATAGCAGAGAGCTGCTATTTTAAGTCAGGTGGTCTAGGGCCTGACTCAATGAGCCACACTGGTCCCTACAGGCCAGACCATAAAATATGGGGAACCAATGGCAGAAAGTGGGCATCGCCAGGAAGAAAGGCTGAGGTAGATGGAGCCAATCCAAGCCAAATGGGACTGAGAATGTCTCCAAACAATTCAAAGATTTTTCTGGATTTATCTGCAGGAGTAGGCTAATTATTTGTGAAAAGGTTACCAATCTAGTTTAGAATATATCATACTATACTTTCTTTCTATGATATCCTATGAGGCAAATTACAGATTTCTCAGAGCTGGGAACTAAAAGGATAAGTGTTTGGTCATATGAAATTGATTAATAAAAAGAACACAAAGCATTTTCCACTGTTCTCCTCGGTGCAATCACAATATTTTTAGTGTTTTTTTTATTTTTAATTACTTTTTTCTCATTTTGATACCTGTGGTAACAGTTATTATTCAAAATTGCTATTTCTTTTTTAAAATAGATACCATGTTCCTTTTCTTAAAAAAGAAATGATTTCAGAGAGGAAGTTGAGAGGGAAGGAGAAAGAAACATCAATGATGAGAACCATTGATTGGCTGCCTCCTGCATGCCCCCTACTGGGCATCGAGCCCACAACCCAGGCGTGTGCCCTAATTGGTATCAAAATGTGACCTCCTGGTTCATAGGTCGACGCTCAATCACCTGAGCCACACAGGCCAGGCTCAAAATTGCTATTTCTAAAAACAAATTTTTCTGTTACCGCATGATACATTGTGGTATAATGGTACTTAATATGCAAATTGCTAATAATACTTAATATTATCTTCCCTCCTGTTGCTCTTTCAATTTGGCATTGAGCAGCTGAGGCTTGAGGTTTTAATCAAAGAGCATTAAATTAGGCAATTTATAAAATCAAGCAAGGATTCTCTTTTCAATTATTTAATTCACTGTTTATACCTATTAAATTGTAAAATAATCTTTAAAATTCATTAACTGATTGTCTCTTCCAATGCTTGACCATGTCTAAACAGTCTTTTTTTCAAGTGGCACAGTATGATAGAATAGTGCAGCGTGTGGGCTCCAGTCAGATGCGTAGCCCAGAGCAAGTTAATTATATCTCTAAGTCTCATTTTCATCATCTGTAAAATGGAGATAATAATTATTCATATGGTCATTGAGAGGATTAAATGAAATAATCCACAGAAAGCATTAGTAAAGTATCTGGTATTTTTTAAAAAGATTTTTAGAGAGGGGGGGGGAAGAGAGAGAGAGAGAGAGAGAGAGAGAGAGAGAGAGAGAGAGAGAGAAACATTAATGTGAGAACGAAACATCGACTGGCTGCCTCTCACAAGCCCCTCACTGGGGATTGAGCCCAAAACCTGGGCAGGTGACCGACGGGGTACACGGAACAATGCCCAACCAACTGAGCCACACCAGCCAGGGCAAAGTATCCTGCATTTAGTAAGGGCTCCGCTCTTATCAAGATGATGAATTTGGGAGCTCATACTGAAACATTACTGTTGATATATGTTGTAGAGCAGAACTATTCTTTTTATTTAAATATATTTTTATTGACTTCAGAGCGGAAGGGACAGGGAGAGAGAGATAGAAACATCAATGATGAGAGAGAATCATGGATCGGCTGCCTCCTGCACGCCCCACACTAAGGATCGAGCCTGCAACCCGGGCATGTGCCCTGACTGGGAATTGAATTGTGACCTCCTGGTTCATAGGTTGATGCTCGACCACTGAGCCACACCAGCAGGACAAGCAGAACTATTCTAAATCTATATTAACCATTGTGCGTAACCAAAACAATCGGAGCAGAAGTATGTGAAAGGCTTCATTCTCTGCTCAGCACAGGGAGTCATCCAGGTCAGCTGGTTATTAGAGGGAGTGCATCTGTTTGTGACAGGCTTAGCCAAGGTGGGAGTGCACAGAGAGCAAACACAAACTTAAACCCACAGGCACTGATTTCTGAGATTCAGTGTCCATCATTCACATAGAGTCTTAAAAGCCTTTTAACTTTCACCTGCTATTGGCCTGCACAGAGAAGGTATCCCAAACACTCAATTTTCACACTGTTTTTCACTCTCAAATCAAGACTTAAATATAAACTTTACTGAACTCAACCATTTTCCAATGTGGTTCATGCGCGCCCTCTAGTGATATACTAAGGGCAACTAAGACCATTCATTCCCCCAAAAAACTCTCTTAAAAAGTGCCGATTCACTAAGTATTCAATTTCTGCTGACAGCTAAAAATAGATTTTCTGCCACTGTTATTTGCACAGCTATAAACTCAACTTACTGCTCTCTCTTTAGAATCAACAACTAGATAAAACTGTTCATTAAAGGATACACAATGCAATCATCTGAAAACATTTCGAAGTAACCTTTGCGTGCTCCCAATGTGACTACATTATTTTGGTTGTTGGGAAGCCTTTTGACAAATAACAGGATTACAAAGTTGTTAAGGAATATTTCTTTAAAAATAATATCCTTGGATAGTTACTTCATTTTTCTTCCTACCCTCTTCCAGTATTCCAGTGACTATTCATAAATTATGACAACGGCTAAATCTGCAAAACTCTACATTATAACCACCTAATCATTTATTTCCTACCACATTTGGTTGTGGTCGTTGTTTAAATAGAGACTTCCAGCAGGTTGTTCCACTCCTTAACTCTGTACCCAGGGATCTTAAACGGGTGGCCCTTGGAGCAAGTGTGGTCTGCAGACACGGTCTAGATATGTTTTAAATTTTCTTGTTGCCGACATTTAAAATTCTGGATTTCTGGTCTCCCCTGAAGAAAGAAGATGACTTTTGACAAGAGCCATCCTGTATCCCTACACAGCAACCCACTTCCAGGAGCTCCACGGGCTGCCATTCAGGGCAGGCCTGTGTCCTTCACACTTGGCCCCCATCAGTCACACGGGTTACTTACCTGGCCCCTGCAGGCATTCAAGTTGTAACCTCTGAGTTTGTAATCCTTTTCAATACTTTCTGTAAAAGTTCTCTTTATGATCTTTACAACCAAACTAATCTCCTATGATATTAGCACCACCAAACACCACCAAAGGCACAGACTAAATGGAGCATGCTGTTATAAAGAAAAGGAAGGTACTCTTGGTAATAGAGGAAGGCAAACATATAAAGGAGTACTTTAGGTTGATGTCCAAGGCATCACTTCCCTCAGAGTTGATAGAGTTCACTCTGTGTTTATGAATCATGTCTTCATTTGGTGACAGCAAACCCTCACCGTAGGTTCACATTCAGCAAATAAGCAATGGACGTCCTCCAATCACAAGCCACCTGCTCACATCCCAAGATTGCTCTCTTGGAGCCAAAGCCCTGGTGATCAGGGGATTGGCCTGGCCGGTCAGACCATGGAAAGGAAAATGGCACTCACGGGTGTGCTGCTGTCGGAGAAGGTGTTCATGCTGACGGAGCTGCTCAGCTTATCCGAGGACACGGAGGGCGGGGACGGGCACCTCTTCTCCAGGGGGTCCTGCCGCTGCAGGTACTCGCGCCATGCTCGCTGAATGCTACAAAAATAATAATAATAATAATAATAATAATAAACAGCACACACACTGTCACAGCACACAGACTTAGACAGCACAAGGAGTCTGAAGGAAGTGGCTTTGGAGCCGGGGAAATGGCACACACAGAATGTGGCACAGAAATCAGAAGACCCGACTGTCTCTCTGTTTTACTGGTTTGACTTTCACAGACATGACTAAGCTCAATCAGTCCACAAGTATCAACTGAGTCAGAAAAAGTCATCCATCAAAGTGAAACTGCTCTGCTCATGTAAATGTACTTTGATCTATGGAACACAAAATCTTTCCATTTCTCATCTTATATTTCAAATGAAAATAATGCACAGGCTGACAGAACACTTGCTCGTTCATTCAGGACAGCACTGTGGAGGACTGTTCTGTGCCAGGGTCAGCCCTGGGTTCTGGACGATGCAGTGGCCCTGCTCTGGGACAATATAGGCAAGAGCCCTGTGGTCACGGATTTTACAGACATAGAGAATGTTTGATAAATAAAGAAATGGAGAAGAAAAAATATCTGTGAGCATTATGTACTACTCAGAAAATTAAAGTAATGTATGATTAAGTGGCTGCTTGAGATTTCATCTAAGGAAACTTTTTATTTTATTACTTTACTAGAGGCCTGATGCACGAAATTCGTGCAAGAGTAGGCCTTCCTTCCCTCGGTTGCCGGCACCAGCTTCCCTCTGGCACCCAGGACCCGGGCTCACCTCATAGCCCCAGCTTTGTCTGGAAGGACAGAAGAATGTCCTTCTGGACATCTGGTCTAATGAGCATATTATGCTTTTATTATTATTAATTATTTTATATTTTTTATTGATTTCAGAGAGAAAAGGAGAGGGACAGAGATATAGAAACATCAATGATGAGAGAGACTCATTGATCAGCTGCCCCCCACAAGCCCCACACTGGGGATTGAGCCCACAACCTGGGCATGTGCACTACCTGGGAATTGAACCATGATCTCCTGGTTCATAGGTCAAAGCTCAACCATTGAGCAACACCGTCCAGGCTCTAAAAAAACTTATTTCTTATGTTTAGTATCCAAAAAATGTCGTCTTCTGCTCTGGGTAATAGAAACCTCTTCTTTTTTATATATATTATATAATTCCATTTATTATTATTTTTTCAATCTTTAATTTCTTTATTGATTAAGGTATTACATGTGTGTGCTCATCCCCCCATTAATCCCCAACCCCCCCCCCACTCATGCTCTCACCCCACTGTTGTCTGTGTCCATTGATTGGGCTTATATGCATGCACACAAGTCCTTTGGTTGATCTCTCCCCCTAACCCCCACCCTCCCCTACTTTCCCTCTGAGGTTTGACAGTCTGATCGCTGCTTCTCTGTCTCTGCATCTTAGAAACCTCTTCTTTGTGAAAACTAGGTGATTTTTTCCCATTTGGACTGGCTTGTAATCTTAGTGATTAACATCTAGATTTTTACAAGTGATCAGTGAACACAATCTGTCCTCTCCAGGGAGTGAGCTGAACATAAAGACCAAGTGTCAGGATTCAGCCTTTTAAAATAGTTACACTAATTCTTTCACCATCTCCTCTAGACTCCCGGAAGCATCTGATCTTCTATAATTCTTCTACATACAACTGAAGTCATTAAAGTTGTTTCTGTATAAACAAACTGATTTTCTTTCATTTGGCTCGAATGGTTCAAAGACGATCAATTTTCAACAGTCAGAGGATATAAAGAACACAAAAAAGGCTACCATCTTATTGAGTGTGTCTGTGTTCCCTAATTTATTAAGGCTCTGCGAATTACAACGCTCAAGGAAAAGTCCTGAAGCTGCAGTGAAACGATACCTTGGTATCCGAGGCCAATTTCTCTGAAACTATGAAATTTAACTCTCAGGGGCCCTTACTTACTTAGAGGCCAGAAGCTTCTGCTAGAGCCTACAAGGCTCTTCATGGTTTATATAAAATTGCAAAGGTAGATATGTTTTAGGCTTTTTTTTTAAAGGGCCCTCCGAATTATATATACTTTAGATCCCATTAAAGTAGGATCTGACCCTGGTGTGGGTTCTAGGTGGTCACTGTTTCATTATGTGATGCATCCTTTGTTATTTTCCTTTGGTTTAAAGATTTTACGCATACTCTCAAAGAAGGCCCTGTAAGACTGCATGCCTGGGTCTTGTTGCTTCTTCAGGGGACCCATTTTATTGAGGAGTATTAATCTTTTGGAAGCTGTTAGTGGTTTCCACATTCTCCCAAGCGCTGGAAGTGCTGAGTAGCTGAGTGTCTCCCAGGGTCCTGCTGACAAATTCTGCCCCTCAAGGGCTTAAAAACCTCTGACATTTTAAAAGTGATTTTTAAGATAGAATGATCTCTCTCTCTCTCTCTCTCTCTCTCTCTCTCTCTCTCTCTCCACCCCCCCTTCCTCCCTCCTCCCTCCCTCTCCCTCTCTCACTCTCTCACCTTGATTATTCAGAGAATATAGAAAGAATAGTGGCCACATGAGATATTACATTTTAGCCTGTTGAGCACCAGAGGGCAGTGTGACACCTTTAAAGAACATAACACCGCTGGTCAAAACTGAGGTGAGGTCTGCACGGGTGGATTTGCACTGAGGCATCCCTCCTCGCTCTATGGAATCTGGAAAGTGATGTATCAGTTTTCCTTAAGTCAGAGGTTAAGCATTCAATCTTCTTTTCTTCCAAGTGGATGGACAGTTTCTTCCTTCTTTAATTTACAAGAGAATGTGGCAATACTAAAGACATGAAGAGGATCCCAGATGTCACCCGAGGCCAGGTGAGGGTAGGCTGGGCAGTGCCTGCTTCTGGTAAAGAAGAATCCCATAATGGGGTTCTGTCACCTTTACAAGCACAGTCAGAAATCTGGATTCTCGCATGAACGTTACTAGCTCTCCCATCTTGCTAAATAATTTTTAAAAGTTCAAAACACATTATTATCAAGTAGGCTGAATTTGGAGATGGGAAAAAGAGGACACCATCAAAAACAGCCTCAGGAGACAATATCTAATTACACACAGCTCTTTTTGTGTGTATTCTCCCACTCAATCCTTACCACCAATGAGCTGTCAGGAGGGCACTATTACACCATAGCGGTAGGTTTTGCCTGCCCAACGTGAGTCTCTCCTTCTTTTGTTCCAGCACCATTTTCCCATGAGCGTTGGGTGGAACAGATCTTACCCCTGCACTGCAGAAAACAGCCTGTGTGTTGGGGCTGACTAGCCAGGAGGCAATGGCATGGCTCAAGTCAGACCAAGGCAAGACTGCTGAGAAAGTAGCCCCCTTTCACCTGGAGAGTTTCAGCTGGTAGGAGATAAGCCTAGAGCCGTCCATGGCCACTTTGCCACAACGTTAGGGAGCCCCTGTGAGAATGAAGAAGATGAAGAGCAGAGCTTATAGAAGAAGAAATGCAGGTATCTGATGACCTTGTTCCACCACCTGAGTCTAGCTGTGCTTGAGGCACATTAGGCCCTGGGTCTTTCTGTCAGGGGCTCCAATATAACCTCTTTCTATACACATTAGTCTGAATTGCAACAAGAGTCCTGGCCAAGTTTCGGGGAAGAAGATGGAACTAATGGACAGACCCACACTTGGGCCAGATTCCCTGTGTCCCCACCACACTGTGCTCCCTCCTCATGGTTCAGCGAGACAGGTATACAGTAGGAGCAAGACGTGGGCGTGGTCGTCACATTCTAACTTAGTGGGTAAGCAGAACGCCTATTTTTTTTACATCTCTGTTAAATTGTCTACATGCAACTAAAAGTTACTCTAACATATAGGTCATGTTTTCATTACTTGGTGTCTGCCCCAAGCCTGTGTCCTGACAAACCTGCCCAAATGCCAGGAAAGGGCCCCTGCATAGCCCTCAGGTTTCCCACAGCATCCCGCACCTCTGGCCTGTTTCTCCTCCACTCCAGTTTCTGCCTGGTTTGCAATTCCTAACTTCAGCTCCTTGCTTTATCAGGAAAACTACTTCGCTCCATTTCATGAAGGGTTTTTCCAAAGGTTCTATCATTTTCTTTCATTGGGAACACATTCCTTTGTTTCCTTATTTTGCATGACTCTGCATTGGTTTCTATGCATTAGATCAGCGGTTCTCAACCTGTATTTGCAGCTGTATTTGAAGCACATTGACCCCCTTTGGCGGTCAAACGACCCTTTCACAGGGGTCGCCTAAGACCATCCTGCATATCAGATATTTACATTACGATTCATAACAGTAGCAACATTACAGTTATGAAGTAGCAACGAAAATAATTTTATGGTTGGGTCACAACATGAGGAACTGTATTTAAAGGGCCAGAAGGTTGAGAACCACTGCATTAGATGAAAACAGCCACCTCTCCTAGTCAAAGATCAGCCTTCTGAAGGAGATAGACTTATCATTCAACCCTGCCCTAGCTCTTGGTTGTCTCTCAAACCTTTGTGACTGTCCAGGCAGCCTATGTTGTTTTTCACCGCTCCCCCATGGTGAGGGTGGGCCAAGATCAGTCAGTGATTCAAAGAAGAGGATCTCAGTCAGCAGCTGGATTCCAGCTGATTGGAAGCCAGACACGCAGGCCCCAGTTTTTAAAGAATACAAATATACGTCCTGCAGGACCACAAGCATAAGTCCCACGATTCACCAGAGCCTGGCCAGCTGGCAATATGTCTGGGTGACAGTTGCAAAAACCAGGGCTCTAGACAAGTGTATAAGCTCCTTTTTGGGAGACACCAGTGAGTGGTAGCAAGGCAAAGGGAGAGCGCAAAGCTGTGTCCCCCAGCCCACGTTCTCTGAGAGCAAGCACCCTCGCAGGCTCTAGCTGTGTGCCTCACTGAAGCCTGCCCGGAAGCTCCAGGACAAGTAGGCCTCCTTCACAGAAAGAGTGCACCTCCGCTCACCCTCTGACTGTCTATGCAGCATCCCAAGGGGTGGTAGCCTGTCAAGAACTGTCTCTATAATTGTTACAGTCCCATGAGTCCAAACAACTCAAGCCCTTTGGCCACTAGAGCCAGGAAATC